CATTATCAGTCCTTCCAATGAGCAGTCAGGGTTGATTTCCTTTAAGATTGACTGGTTTGGCAAATCCCAACATGAAGTGAGAACACCAACCCATGCATTAGTAGTCAAGGAGTAAGTACATCCAGTCCAGTGTTCTATATTCTTATTAGCAGCTCCTGACAAAGTCTTAGATAGATGTCTTGTCCATCAGCTTCCATGGCCTGAGGTATCTCTTCCTATTTCGTTGGTAATTAATCTGGAAAGTCAGCCATCCTTTTTTAAAAATATAAGACCTGAGCCCAACCTTGGTATTAATCCTGTAACTTTGAGGTTCACTTTTAAAACCCTCAGTTGGATGTCATCGTGTCCAAACAGTACAAAGATTTTATTTTCTTTGAAATAACTTTCAAACTGGTCTTGAAGGATCAACTAGTGACATACTGATCGTGATATTACAAGTGCTATCCAATGATGCTTAGAATACGAGTGGGTACCCTATAACAACAAGGATAGTTGCACCTGTTCTGAAGCTGTTTGCAGGGGTGAGGCTCTAAGAACAGTAACTCACATCCTGGGGCTGGCCTTGAAGATTACCCCAAAACTGCAGTTGGAGCAGAAGGCAGCAGGCCCTCTGGCTGCTGAGCAAAAGCTAGTTTAGCATTGCAGCACCTAAGCTGCAGGGACTTGCACTGACTTTCAAGAGGTTTCTGTGTAAAATTCAAGGGGTTGGTATTAACCTATAAAACAACTTGGGCTTGCGCCCCGGATGTCTTTAGGACACCTCCAAAGAGGTTCCGTTGTGTCTGGGAGTAGATGCTCCAGCTATTCCCAGCCCAGGAAGCAAGAGAGACAGGACCCTGGAAGCACAGCTTTTCAGTTCCTTCAATAAAAAAAGAGTTAGCTTTTTTCGGCAAGCTTTTAGAGACTGGATACTTTTCTTTGTATTCCCACTTTACTCCTATTTTTGTCTGATACCATTACTAATGTTAATTTTTATTTTGAACTGATTGGGGATTTGAATTAGGTTCTAATATATTACGTGTTGAGATACCACATAATCTCTTTGCATCTGTGAGCTGTTTTGACCACTAGGACAAACGGGAGGGAGGAAGAAAGGGTGGGTGGGAAGGAAATGTCTCCCCCCCTCCCCCCCTTGTTCCAGTGTCTATTTCTCATCTGGCCTAGGGTTAGTTAAATGTGTTTAACCAAGAGGCAAAGGGAACATTCCATCTGCCCCTCTGTCTTTCTCAGTGTAAAACAATGGAGTTTAGATGAAAGGGAGGCTTTTCTGTCCCATGTGTTTCTGAATGAATGCATCTAATGAAGGTTGGGAGGCATTCACTGATAGTAGGGCGAAGCTGTTACTCTGCATCCAAGACGACTGTATTATAACCATTTAATTCTTTTTAATGAGGCATTCTGCTACCTAATTTCTCAGAGTAATTTCAGCACTAATGAGGGCTCCTGCTGAATTCAGATGATCTCCAACATTGCATCTTAGAGTTTTTGTAAGTTAGCAGTTTACAAGTTATTGGGAAATAAGGAAGGAAGTTGAGAAAGCACCTATATCAATATTTGGAAGTAGTTGCTGTAATTATATGCCCCAGGTGGGTTAGCAGTGTGTGTACTGCATAGTCTACCTGGGAAAATATTATATGTGAAAAAGCCCAAAATATTAATTAACCAGGCAATGTTGTTCCACAATTTTCAGCCTTGTCTGCCGTTTGCTTTTGGTATATTTAATAATTTATTACATAATAGGAAGAAACTCCAGGATTACATAATAATAATTCATCCCCACCTATTCAGAGGCATAAGGTATTAGTGTAGGTCAGCTACGTTTCATCATTCCTTCCATTTCTTCTGTAACTCCTTCCATGTAGGGTTCATCTTGCCAGCAATTTTTAATAGTTATTGCTAGATCTTTTCTTTCTGAGCTGTTTTTCCCTGACTCAGAACTTAGCCCACTTTCAGAGTACAGAAGCATAAACTGTAGATATTTCAGTGTTTAAGCTGCACAGACAGAAGCAATTGTTCTGCAATTCTTCAGAGGGCTGGCTTAATGAAGCCACAAAGAGAAGAACCTCAGGGCAAGATGGAAAGATTATCGAGCATCAGCCTGGAGAGATGAAACTTCACAGTTCCTGGAATGAGCCTTAGAACTGCTACTCAGGAGGTTGCCATTCTCATTGGTCTTAGACCAACACTTTAACCACTGCTCCATATTAGTGTATTGATTTTGTTGTTTATCTGATTTTTTTATCCTATCTTTGTGCCCTTAGGGACACAGTAATGAACCACTGAGTATTCATTTCAGTGCAATGTTGGTCTTTGATCATTCTGCCATCAGAGAGTGCATTAATGTTAATGGCTGTGCACTGTTCACTAGAAGTGTGAATTTGTATTTCTCATGTTCATGTCAACTTAGAAACTGCAGTGTGAATAGTATCACACACACACATGCTTCATTTTAACATAATTACTTTGTTGGATCAGATCCAAGTTGATGTCATCTGAAGATTGGAAGAAAATAGGTCATGTTCTACTGATACAAATCACTGGACTATTTTTAATAGATTAAATTGCTTTCTGACTCGTTTTAATAATAGCACACAAAAAAATACTGTCCCATATTTCTATGTAATACCTGTACCTGTAGTTAATGTAAAGGTGATGTATGGAATTAACCTAATTTTTGAAATAACTTGATACATTCAGCCACAAACTAACTGTACAGACTGCATTTTCAAAGCATGCTTAGCTAAAACAGAGTGGGCTAGTTTGTTTAGCTAGAGTATTAGAACTTCTGGCTTATGGCAAACCAAATATAGATTTGCTTTTATATGGGCCATTTCTCATGTGACACTCCATTTTATTGATCTCGGGGTTCTAGTAAAACAAAGTCCATCTTGCAAGCTTGATACTTGATACATATTCATATTTGATCTAATTCATCAGTTTGGTACTTAGCTACAGGAACATCATGTGCAGAGAAACTCAATAACTTACCTGCTTCCATTCTTGCACTTTTCATAATCTCCTAGCCTTAAGTTAACTCTGTAATATTCATCTTGCTGCCTGTGTATGCACCAACATGAATGTTACAAGAAATTGAAGACTTGGTGACTTCTTAGGTAGTTGAATGGACTACTGAGGCAAACGATAAGCTATGCTTAGTGCTGTTCTCTCATTATCACACAGGATGTCACACAGTTCAGAAGATTAGAATGTGGCTAAAAAATAAAGCACTGTTTGGTGATCAACGTTTTATGGAAAAACTGAACACTATGACTGTTAACATTCTCTAAGTAGATGTATGGGTTGTCCCATGAACTGCTTGTGAAATTTAAGGGTGGGGAAAGTTTTTCCCAGTGTGGTGTGCTCATGATGTATGGAATTTCAACTCTCATAACCACCCACAGTGCGATGAGGAGATTATGGAAGTCAGAGGACATCAAGAGACCACTAGATTAGGAACAGCTCTTGTATATCAACCTTCTGATGCACTTGCTATTAAACTGAATCATCCAAAGCTGGGTGTCCTCTAGAAGTTTGGTCTTAATCTTATCAAATCCCCAGCCAGGATAGCCATCACTGAGAACATTGGGAGCTGGTACAAGCATATCTTGGTTATGCTCTGTTGAAAAAGACTAAACTAGCTTATTCACAGTTATCACTAGAGGAGATAAATGACAAGTAGAGTGTCACAGATGGTGTTCTGCTAGGTTGCCATATGCTACCTCCCCTTTTTTTTCTCTCTCTCCTGTATGTTGCTATTGTGTTCATGTGCTTTTAAGATACTTATGGAGTACAAGGCCATCATCATCCAGAAGCATACTCGGGCTTGGATGGCTCGGAAGAATTTCGCCAAGTTCAGATGCGCAGCTGTGATTGTCCAGTGCTATTTCAGACGCATGAAGGCCAAGCAAGAGCTGAAGGCTCTGAAAATAGAGGCCCGGTCAGCAGAGCACTTGAAGAGGCTCAATATTGGTATGGAGAACAAAGTTGTGCAACTGCAAAGAAAGATAGATGAACAGGTAAATTCACTGAGTCTTGCTCTGTTGTGTGTACCTGCTTCTCCTGAGCGTTCTGGATGGAACTGTTATCAAATACTTGAGGTTTTTCGTTTGCCCCCGTATCCACAGAATATTGTCAAGCCCTATGACTTGGTGGAACAGGATGAAAGTATAAAATTGTCAAGGCTTTGTGTTTTCAGTTAGTGCTTTAGTGAAAATGTCTTCATTTTCTATTTTACAACCCTCTTTCCGTTTGATGACAAAGACATTGCTTTTGAATTTCTCATGGGTAGTTAGTGTCCTGACTTTCACAGTGCAATCATATATCTCCTCCTTCAGTTAAATCCTAAGGGAAGCCATAATAATGGAAATTTTCCAGTAGACTTCCAAGGATGCAGTTTTGTGGCAAGATTTTTAAAAAGGCAAGGAGCAGTAAAATTCAAGCTCAGATAAGTTGAGACAAGGACTGAAGGTTGTTAAATAAAAAAATTAAATATCCAGGATGAGAGCAGATGTGACTCAGGAAAGTTACATGGGATCTCTAGTAAGGCTGTGCAGTGTTTTGGAAATAATTCAGAAAAGTTGAAGGCATGAACCTCTCTGCATCTCTTTAAAGCAACTACCTATCTGCAGCCACTTCACCAGCTGCTTTAAAGAGTTGCAGGTAAAATGTTAAGGATCCCACACGTCAAAGCACCTTTCTGTATTCAAATTTAAAACATTGCAGTTCTCTAATATCTAGTCATTCAAAAGTATGGGCGAGCTGTACTTTTATAGGCCTTTTGGTCAAGTTAAAATATCACACAGTAGGACCCCAGACTTTTCTCATATAACTTGTGCCTTAACCTGTTGGAAAAGAAAATTCTGAAAGAACTCTTGGAATGACTAGAAGTAAATCTAAAGGTCAAAGCTGGACAAAAGAATTGACAGCTTGATGTTTTCAGTGTCCAGCAGAATAAAACCAAAAGCCAAACTGTGTAGCCTGGCTTGATCCTAGCTCAGACTGCATTAAATAAGACAATGGATAAATCGTAAAGAGAAATTCACTCTCTGTTCGGTTTTATCAGAAAAGTAAATGAAACTGCCACCAAGCCAGCCTTTGCTATTAAGCCTCTCTTGTGCCGATCCTCCATCACTTATGGCCATTGAATGCTGGAAAAGCCATGCTAAGGTAACAGTGAATGTGACAACAGTCTTGGTTTCCTCATCAGGGACTACGAACAGAAGCACTGGGTTCTTTTTTTTGAAGAAGGAGGTAGATAGTGGGGGAGAGTTTTTTCCTGTCTTTCTTGTTCTGTGCAAATGTAGTTTTGGAAGGTGCCTCCACGGGGCCATCTCTTGCTCTTGCTTGGAGCGTTTGATAGCTGAAACCCCGTGATGAGTCTTGGTCTAAGTCGGGGTCAGCAACCTTCTTCATGTAGGGTCATAAGCCATGCCTGTGAGTGGATGGCAGAGTGCTCTCTTCCTCTCAGTGAACCCTGGCATTTAGGAGATCACTTTGGGGCAAACCACAGGGACAAGCTTATTTCTTAGGAAAATGAGGATGTGCTCTGCAGAGTTGCAGGCCAGGTGGGTATGTTATTTTGGGGGGAGGGGGGACTATGGGCTGGATGATTTTGTGTGGCAGGCCCAATGTGGTCAGTGGGCCATAGGTTGCTGAGCAATGGACTAAGTCCTTGCGGGGGGGAAATCTAGTTTACATTATTTATTGTCTAGCAACATCTCCTTTTCTTACTAAAATCAAAATCAAAAATAAATAAATCAGTGCCTCCCTAAAAACAACAGTGTTTCCCTCAGTGTTTTCTCTGTGTGAGGTGGTTTAAAAAAGTAATCATCTGAGGTCATTTCTACCATCAAAGGAGGCAAAGTTTCACCCGTCTGGCACTAGATAAATTTAAATCTGTAGAGTCTATTTACAACCTGATTGTAGCAGACAAGAACTTCAGTGGATCTCCCTCTGGTACAGATTTAATAATCTTATCCATGGAATTAGAAATAGTTTTGGTCTTTCTCCTGTTTATTCTGTTTACTTTTTGTAATGGGAGTTTGTTATGAACCAGTTGCAAACATCTAACACTGAACAGCCAAAATTCTTGTTTAGCTTACAATTCTAGCTTGTTCCAAGAGGAACAAGCAGCATGTCCTGGTTTGAACTTATCACTCAGTAGATCCCAGATGGAGACTTCCTGGTTTGGCAGGAAGAGCTAAGTGGGAACAACTATATGGTATCCACCAGAATGTTTGCGAATTCTGGCTTATGGCTACATGTGAATAGCCAGCTTGTGTACTGTTCTGTTGCTCCTTAACTGGCCATTTGGAGGTAAGATAAGCCATGGAATGTGAGTGAGCAAATACAGATGGGTTGCAAGGGGGAAATGGTACCATCTGGACCTTCTGCATTAGAATTCTGGAATAACTCAGGGCAATTGTGCAAATGCCTCCTCTGATAGTACTTTCTGTATAGAAGGTTATGGGTGAACTGTGTGAACTAATTTACAGTTGTTTCTGGCACAAATTCTATAGATGTGCTTCTTCTAGGGACTTTGATACAGTTGAGTGCATCTGGACCACTTTGCTTGCCTATTAATACACATGCCATCTTAAAGGAAGAAATACAGTAACGCTGATCCCATATTATTTTTTCCACACAAATCATTGTTGACAATTAAAAGCTCTCAATGGGATTTGTTTGAGAAAACTCAGCTTTGTTACTTCTTTGTAATAATGATTTCAGTATCTTAGAGTTTCAGAACCTTCTGAATATTTTAAGAACTTAAATGTTGCTGTGTTCTCTGATGCTCTTTGAGAAGAATTGTCTTTTTTTTTTTTTGGTGGTGTTCTTTCAACTCTTTCTCTGTTCCATTCATTTAGATGTCCTGGAGACAGTCATTTATTGCTGTCTTAATGATAATTAATGAGACTGCAAACCTCCTTTCAGACTCATTTCATTTCAGAGTCATCGTTATTGGCTCTTGTTCACTTTGATGGCCCCTCTGTTATTCAGTGCTCCTAATCACTCTCTTTTCAGTAGTTAGAATTGGAACTTGAAGTGATCTACTTGCAATGAAATGCTGGCGTGGGAGTATTCAGGCAGAACTTCCCTAGCACTATCCATAGTGCTGGGGAAGGTGGCAGCTTTCTACAATGTTCCCAAAGCTACTTTATTCTTTCTCTCTAAACTAGCCCACTGTCCACCAGATGTGGCAGAGGAAGCTACCACTCCATCAGTATTGAACAACTTCCACAGCTGTTTCTTTTTGTGGAATGTGCTGGTGGAAGTTCCATCTTGTCATTTACATTGAGAGGTGAAGGATCTTGGGAGGGTTTTGCAATATGAAACAAGTCTCTTTCTTTCCAGAATCAGCAAGCTTGAATGAGATGGGTAGTTAAACATTGCCACAGGTGTGTAGAATCACACACTATGCAAATACTATTTTTCGTAGCTGTTGTATCACAACTGGAACATATGAACCACCACGATACTAAGAAGTTCCTCAGGAACAGCTACAGGACATTATATGGAAAACATGTGCTCCCCCTTTCCACTTAAGGGGCTTGCCAAAATTATCTTGATAAATATGGAAAGATAGCTGTCGAATGAAGTCTGCTATATATAAAAAATAATTACAAAGCACATACGGTATTTTAAAGTTTCACATGTGTCTTTATGAAGTTGTGTGAATCAAAGGCTAGTTTATGGATTTATACAATCTGAAAAAACAACAACAGGATGTTAATAGGTTCTGTTCAATCACTATTGTTATTGGAACATTTGGGGCTTAGCTTTTGCTTTAGATGGTGGTATGGATAAACTCAGCTTTACTAGATTGTTTTCTCTAATCTTCTTTTGTTATATTGCTGCTTTTATTATGCATTACATTTCTTTTGATTATTATTACTATTTATTTTCTTACAATTGTTTCTTTGACTGTAAATCAATGAAGTAAGTTTGTTTATGGATACCTGGAATTCTGGAGGTGTGGAAGATTGCAAATTTAGCATGTTTGAGGCAGAGAAAATTAATGCTGATAAGCTGGTGTTCTTAGAGTGGTTATGCTTGGCTGTTGGCTGGCTCAGGCTGACCTGTGATTGGGTGAAGATGCTTTAAAACTTGACCAGTAAACTGCATGAAATGTGCATGATAACATGTAGAAGTTGCATAGAGCAAGAACAATGAAGGGCAAGAGTGTGGTGGCAATAAAGCAGATTAAGGATGCTTTGCATGTTGGACAGATTGTGGTGGGGCAGGGCCCTTCACTGTTTCTGCACAATGTTATGCATGTGAATTAGGTGGTGCTGTTTGAAATTAAGGGTACAGATGATGAAAGTTAAATCATCATTTCTCCCCCAGTCCACCTCTCCCCAGTTCTTTCCTCATTCTTCTACAAGCTGTGCTCTTACACAAAACACAAAACAGATTAAAGTGTATAAGATTAAAGTAAAATATGGAGGAAATGTTCAGTTTAAGCTATCCATAAGATGGTTAAAATTAGGCCCCATTCCCTGTTCTACAGAGTCATTTTAAAAATAAGTTTTTAAAATATAGTCTATTAGATTATTATTTTTCTAGTATACAATAAGTCCTTCCTCCTTCTCTTAATATATTTACAATAGCTAGGTACTCTCTTAGGCTGCAAGTACTTCAAATAACTACAACCACATTAACTAAAATTATTTAGCTGAATTTTAACTGAAAAACAGTTTATTTAATCTGAACAAGTAAAAAAGACATTATTGAATCGAATACAATAAATATGGCTGAAGTTTTAGTACACTGGATTGACATTACTTTGCAGTTCTTGGTCCTGTGAAGTTATTCAGTGGTAGCAGGGCTGAGGATGAAATAATATGCTGAAAGATAAAATATTGGAAAATAAAGGTATTGTAAGCTTGTTATAAAATCATGACCTAAAATAGTTTCTTTGAGCTTGAAACATTCCAGAACTATTGGACAACTTCCATAACCTCATGCCAACATGGTTGTTGAATGATGGCCATTGCAGTTCAATGCATTTGGAATAAGGAAGCTGGCCTAGAATATTACAAGGTCACTTCAAAGACTTGACTGTAGGTCAAGTCAGGAGCTACTGTCCAAATAGGTAGTTTGAGCCAGGAGGTTAGCAACATAATTTGGAATCCTCTTGATTGTGTAATTTGGAGATTCCAGAGAGTCGTCACTTGTAGATGATTTAGGACACTTTAATCTTGTACATAGTCTTAGGCTAACCAATACACTTCTGAGGAATCCTTCTTTCTTTGTGCTTCTGAACATACCTACTTGTCTGATACCTGTGTGTGGTCCATGTCATTGTCAAGTTTTGGATCTGAACATCCAACACTGGTTTGCTGTGGCTTCATTCTTAAACACAATCATTTGGGAGAAAATGTCTGTTGCTTATTCACTTGACATTTTCAGTACCTTGAAGATATCTCTATAGAGGATTCGTATTAAGGGTGAATGTGAGCTATGGAAAGTTGCTTGTGAGAACATTTTCACAAAGAGCTAGAGTTCCAAAGAGTTTGAATTCTTAAAATGTGAGTCTGTAAGGTTTTGCATGTACAGAATCAAAAATTCCAGATTTTCACTCTCCAATTCCACATTCACAGAATGCCTGAAGAGTTTTCCCTTGTGAGAAACTTGAAAGCCCTCTTTACAATTTATTTAATTTGTGTAGTAATTTCAAATTACAGAGACAGGCAATTTGTACAAGACATTGATTTGTTTCTGTAAGGAATGAATAAACACTGGCATAACTACATGATTAGTCCACATTTTTTGGTAGTTAACGTTCAGGTTCTTAATATGCACTGGTATGAATTTCTTTGGTTGGCTTCCAAAAAAATTATATAAAATCAATGAAATATATATTTTTACCATACAATATACAAATCAGAAATATACGAGTCAGAAATGTGAAGGTATGGAATAGTTTACCTTCAGACATATGTAGACATGGCTACACATTAAGAAGATCTAATGTGTTTGGGAATATGTTCATTTTATTATTTTTATACCACTTACCAACTAAATTCTCTGGACTACTAAGCAACTTATAAATCAGTAAGCTATAAAATGAAATGACATCAATATAGCTTTCAGTAGAAGAGAATGTATGTAGTTCAGGGTTGAACTGTGGAGTTCTTGGTGCTTTCAGAGCTTGGTTGACTCTGATGATGTTACCTAGTTGGGTAATGAAACGTCTGCAAGCAAACAATCAAGTCAGCACCAAGAACTCCACAATATAACTTAAGAAAGATTTGGGAAGATGAAAGTGTGTGGGGGGGGGGGGGGGGGGGGGGGGGGGGGAGTGGGGGAGAGGGGTTTGCATAGCAGGCATTGCCAGTGAACATTTTTCTCCCAGGTTTTTATTTCCTTCATCTCATTGGTTTGAAAAGAGCCTCTTATGAAGATTGTTTTAAACTCTACAGGTACATACTGACAGTTCCAAGTAATTTAGGGCAATGTTTTGAATCAGGCTTTAATTTAGAAATGCTTGTCTTTTAATCTTTTTAAACTCTTGTATGTCTTACAGGGGCAGGGATGGTGTTCTAATTCAACATAGACTGTTTAGTGGATAAGACTTTGATGTTTGAGAGCATATAGAAGAAAAAGAGTAACATTAACAGAGCAAGAAATCCTTCATTTTCAGACATTGTTGGTTTCCTGAGACCAGGGCAGCAGATGTGAAGAAGTGTTTTGCTTTTGGTTTAAAGCAGCAGTTCTGTCTGTTATGTTTCTTCTTCCATCTACAACAATGGGAAGGAAAGTAACAATATCAGCTTCAGGTCACCAGCAGTTTGAGGCCATGTTGAAGAATCAGTGAGACTTTAGATCTTGTGCTTCTAATGCCAACTCCAGAATGCCCTATCATGTCCTCACCGCTGGCAGTCACACAGCCTGTGGTACCCAAGCATCTGTAAAGTTTTTGGTAGGCAAACTAGTGTAAAAGTGTCTCTGTCCTACTAGTGCCCCATCCTGTTCAGGGGGGAGTTAAAATTAAGATTTCTCACCATAAGAACTTTCCAAACCATAACTGATTGATTAATGCAATAGGAAGAATGAAGTCTTTAAATTGCTACTTCAGTGTGTATTTTTTTTTTTTAGTATCCTTGTGACAAATACTTCTATTATGACAAAACCATTTGTGAACTAGAGTCTGCTTTTCTAATATACCTTGTCCATTAAAACTTACATTATATCAGTTGTATAATGCTAGTTGAACGTAAGTTTTTACCACAAGATTCTTAATGAATGTGATTGGAACGGAGTAACCTGAATATCTCTGGAAATTATAACCTGTGTTAGAATTTCACTGTCTGTGATAGTTGGAGACTGATGCTTAACTTTGGAAACCAGGAACGGAGTAACCTGAATATCTCTGGAAATTATAACCTGTGTTAGAATTTCACTGTCTGTGATAGTTGGAGACTGATGCTTAACTTTGGAAACCAGGAACGGAGTAACCTGAATATCTCTGGAAATTATAACCTGTGTTAGAATTTCACTGTCTGTGATAGTTGGAGACTGATGCTTAACTTTGGAAACCAGGAACGGAGTAACCTGAATATCTCTGGAAATTATAACCTGTGTTAGAATTTCACTGTCTGTGATAGTTGGAGACTGATGCTTAACTTTGGAAACTAACAAGAACAATCTATTATTTTTAAAACTCTGCAGTCTTATCCACTTACAACTTACTTTATTCTCTGGAGTGGCAAGTGGTGAGTTCAGTGTTTTCCTGCTACTTCTTCCTCTGCAGAGCAAAGAATACAGGTCTCTCACTGAGCAGTTCTCCACAGCAAGTTCTGCTCATTGCACAGAGATTGATAAACTGAAGAAGGAACTGGAACGCTACCAGCGGAAGAAGGGGGACAGCAATCAGATTGCGAGCTTGCAGGAAGAAATCGATTCCCTCCGGCTGGCCCTGGAGAAAGCTCACGGGGAGCGAAAGATAGTCGAAGACACCTATGCAAAGGAGAAACAGGTGCTCCAAAAGGTAATGCTCTGTGAGGAATTCCAGGCCTTCAATGACTGTGGGCATTAGACCAAGCCATGGTTTATTTAACCATCATTTATTGAATAAACCAGCACTGATGTGGGGTCCCAAACATGCTAAGTGATAAACTGTGGTTTAAAACCACAGTCTGTATCACCAACAGCTAAATTAAACCTACCTCCCTGTGGCTTTTCTTCATGCGTGCACCAAGTCAGCGTTCAGACTTTTTCAAGCCTATCTTCTGAATTGACATGCTGGTTTATTTCTGATTATTGTGCATGTTTTGTATCGTTATTAAGGCCTTTTCTAAAGATAATGAGGCTGGTTTGTATACCTCAGAGTTGATTCAGGCTGTTACATTCTTCCACACACCTGCATTCAGAACCATATCAGAAATGGTAGGCATGGACCAGTCCGTTCAAGGTTCATGTGGTTTCATTATTTCTTGAATTTCTACAGGGAGAAGAAATGACTGCTGAATCTGCACATCTAGCTCTTCACAAAATGTCTTTCTGTGCATTATTGTGTTAATTGGTGGTAAAGTAGAGACCAGAATTTAAATTCATTCATAGCAGAATTTAAGGGACAACACTGATGCAGAAATACTCAATAACCATAATCCAAAGGGGGATTTCAGGCTTTGAGGATTGTATTAGTGGCAGTCAAGACATCTACTGGCTGACTGGTTACTTGGATTTGTAAAGACTAATTTGTTGTGTGGTGATAGCACAAGTACTGTAATTGCTGGTGGAGAGTAAATTCATGACCTTTAAATGGGCAAATCTTTAAACTGTCACAGCTGAATTCCTCAGTCAGTTCCTGTTATCCTGCTCTGGGAAACCATGTGGATTGATCTGAGAATTCTCCCATTCCTTGTCAGATCATTGAAATAATTTTAAAAATAGCCACATCTAGCTAATATTAAAGGTAGCATTTTGTTCTGATTTTAACATAAATCCAAGAGGCTATGAATATGTAATGCTGTATGTATCCCCTGCTATTAAAAATAGAAGAAAAGAAAGAAGGAGGAGAACTTTGATACAAATTTTTGTGGAAGGAAGGAAGGGCAGTTACCCTTTTGCAGGTTTTAGTACACAACTTTCAATAGTACAGGCTTTTTTCTCTACCAGAAACAGAATATATACTGTTTTGCATGGATTATATACCCCAAAGAGTACTAATAACAGACAGTCACTGCCATCTGTACTGCAAGACATTTGATGTTGATGGATCCTCACCATTTCACTCTAGAAGTCAGCTGTGGTAGATTTCTTTTACATCCTTATGTTTGTTTATTATTTAATTGATTGCATATACATCGTCCAGAGCTTAAGATTCCTGCCAGCTTATACCAGTTATACACACTCAAATATATGCTGTACACATACACACTCGAATATTCAAAATGTAATAAAAATGATATCTGAACAGCCAATCCTAAGAAAAATCAAATGGCAACTCGATTACCATAACATCATGCAACAGTTTTCAGAATCAAGCTCCAAACACCCATTGAAACAGCATATTTATGCTCAGGTATAATGATCCATGTCAGCTTGTGACTGAACCCTACATGCAACTTGGGGTATTTTTCAATTTGCAACAATGCAGAAGACAAAAGTAATAGCACCCCAAGGGCAAAGCTAATGTATTGGGAAGTTGAGGATTGGGGGCGTTGTTTTATTTTTAAAAAAAATTAAAAGAGTCCATCAAGTTGAGCTCCACTCTTGGTGGTTTCACATACTTTTCTCGGCAGCAATTTAAAAATGGTTTACCATTGTCTTCTTCTAGCACCT